AAAAAAAAAAATAAATAAATAAATAAAGGAACCACAAAAGCATTCATTCACAAGAGTAACCAACTCCTACTTAAAACGCCATCAAGACATACAAAAGGTTGTGCCAAGGCCATGAATAAGTTTCTGCTGCCCAACTCAATTAGCTACCACTTATGAAATTGCGGACTTCATCCCCACTCGGAGATCATAACACCGAGAAAGGGATGATAAATCACTTGAAGAGAAAAGAATAGTTTTCCAGGTTTCCAGGTGGAAAATTTCCCAGCACAGAATGCTCAAACAAAAGCTATATAATATGAATGCTTGAATCTGGAACTTAAGGAATAAATATTAGGTCTGGGAGGAAGACAGTGAATTCATCTGAGGAAAAGACTATGGAACAGATAACACTAAGTGTAACCCTATAATAATTTAAGGGCAACAAGCAGAAATAAAGCATTTAAGGATAAAAATCAGAATAAAGCACATAAAACCAACTGCAAGAGAAGGATATTGCAAAGACAAAGATAATTCGATGACAGATAGTAGTTTGTTCTATGTCTCTTCCACAGCAAATGAAATTGAAAAAAAAAAGGACAAAAGAACACCATTCTATTTGAAGAAATACATTAAGGCAGTATACACCTTACATATTGAATTGTCAAAATACAAGATACATAGCTTTAACTAGACTATGTCAGCAGCATAGNTACACCTTACAGATTGAATTGTCAAAATACAAGATACATAGCTTTAACTAGACTATGTCAGCAGCATAGGGTACATCTGGTGGCAACCAATTCGTTCCATTCAAAAAGACTCTCACAGTAAAGTGAGATGCTGTGGNGAAGAAATACATTAAGGCAGTATACACCTTACATATTGAATTGTCAAAATACAAGATACATAGCTTTAACTAGACTATGTCAGCAGCATAGGGTACATCTTGTGGCAACCAATTCGTTCCATTCAAAAAGACTCTCACAGTAAAGTGAGATGCTGTGGACAAGTCATCAATGAAGTGGATGCATGGTGAGTTGGTTCTAAAATTCGCACCTGGTCCCCTATTATTGAATTCACCAAAATACACCGTATGTGGTGTAGAATCATTTACAAACCACCCAGCTATAGAGGCATCCAAAAAGGACTGCATAACCACAGTCTTTGAATATGCCTCCGGTGCACCGCCTAAGTAAGTTTCTTCTGATGAAGCTATTACACTTCGCATTGTAAAGAACTCACATAGGTGAAATACAAACGCAGAGTTTGACATCAGACTTCTCTGTGACTGCCCTGAAATCACCACCTTTTCTTCAGCATGTATTTTGAAGGAATTGATCCTACATTGCTGAAAAATTGCAGGAGCATCTCCCTGTATAAAATAATGACTGCCTTGTATTTGGCAGTCGCGGTAGAATTGGCGCCCTTCATAAGCCCATATAGTGGCATGGGAGCCCATGAAGCTGCAACGATAAAATATCGACTGATGTGCCCAGTTCTCAAGGGCCCCTCTGTGATCTTTGTCAGATGCTGCTGAACTTTTGATTGTCAGATCACGAGCCATGAAACCCTTTCCCTTAACCACTTGAAATTGAGGTTCAAATGTTAACACAATGGACTAATTGTCATGAAGTAGTAAAGGCAAAAGTTACAATGATGAAGACTCATAAATTATGTAATAACCAATCTATATTGTTGGAGAATGGAAGTATCCATAAACAAAATTAGGAGTAGGATGGAAATATAGAAAGAAACCCAAAAAATGGTGACACATAATGCAACACTTCAAACTGAGAACTTAAATGGTTGTTTCTTAACCTCAAAAATATCTAAAACATCATGACCCTGATACAATCTGTATAATGTTGAATTTTATAAGGTTGAAAAGAAAAGAATGAAAGAAGATACTAAGTGATACATCGATCACTACTAAAATCATCTCTGTGCATTTCTTTATTTTATTCTTTATTCAGCAATTTATTGTGGGGGTAGGTCTTCTCTCTCTTTTTTTAAAGCCAAAATCAAACGACATATTGGACAGAAAACACCCGAGATATTCAGATACAGCCTTCTAACATCCCAAGGCACAGGCTTAAAGAAAGCATGAAGAATGTCTAAACTGACACTGATGTCTGTTCGGACTACAGACCATCAGGAGCTTTATTAGCCTTCCTAAAACATGCCTCAAAGACTAAAGTGATAAAGCAACTTTTTAAAGTACAGAACTACCATATGTCAATTTCGATTCAGAAAAATGGCTTGTTATTCTATTTATTACTATCATTAATTTGAAAATAATCCAAGTAATATACTTGCACCAAATATTTTGAAAAAGATTCCCAGTATTCTTGATACCAGAGGCCAGAATTAACCCATGTATCACATTCTGTAGAAAAAGTAGCAACAGCCACTAGGTCTACAAGTTACCATGATATCTGGAATAAAAATCGACTAAGAAAATGATGAATAGGGGCTTACCATATACAAGAATCTGGCCAGAAATAAATATGATAATGGTAACCGTAAGGCAACTCGAGTGCCATTTTTACTAAACACCTTGACAAAAGAATACTGCTCAGGCAATAAAAGAATTAGAGGTTTTCAGCTTTGAAGGTCAAACTTCGGTATGTAGTCTGAGTTCCTTCCCAGAAATGAAGATTTCCTTCATAATTTCTATTCAACACAACAGAGTTTTGACACCCATCATAGCTTGAAGCAGAGGAAATGTTTATAGTATTGCTCTTGCGTTTAATTGTATAAGAAAATTAGGCAGACAGAGAGATATTATATTGAAAAACATGTCAAACGTTCCTTAATATTCTACGAGTAAACAAACAACAGTAGGATCATAACTCAAAAGATGTTGAACTACAACAACCAGATCGGTGGTAAGGTGTTTCTTAATCAATTAATATATATATTTTTCTACTTTGTTGATTTGTGGCTTTACTTTCTCAGGTTCTATGGCCAAAGCCAAACTGAAAAAACCATTGGGACCAATGAAATTGATTCATTGCAGAATTATCTGCATAAGAAATTTCCATTTAGTCTTCTGCTCTGTATGTAAGTTTCCATTGCAAGGATTTGAAGATAAAAGAGTATCAAGAGAGAGAGAGTTTCTAAGAAACTTTTGTAATGAAATTTTCAGTTGATAGCATATGTGAAAGCATGTTAATAACTAACTATAAGAGTCATAACATAAATGTTTAAACTACTCACATAAGGTTGCTACTTGTGTGCCATTCAGAACCTCATCTACAGTTCGGTTGGACATAATGGTAGTCTTCCCCATGCCTTCTCCAACGAAGACCAAGTTTGTCTTCTCTCGCCCTATAAAAACATTTTCATAGTATTCCCCTTTTCTGATTAAGATACAGAATTTTTGGGGGCTGTTATTTGGAGCCGCTTCTACAGCTGCTGCAATAGAAGTAAAGTCCACACCATGATTTGTCTTTGCAACGACGGACTTCTCTCTGCACCATGATTTTTCTCCTCTGTGTTTAAAAAATTCCCCAAGCTCCCAGGCTAAGATGGCAGTAGCAACAAGAGTCATGATAATTATTATAATTTTTGAATAATTATTTCGATACAAAATCACAACTTCAGTATTCGGAGGAGAAGAAGCTGGAGATGCTGGTAGTGGAGGTGGATTTGGGGGTAAGGGAAGCTGTTGTGGTGATTGTTGATCCATGTCAGAAAACAAAGATATGAAAAAGAGAACCTGCATGCAAGCATGATGCTGTCTTCAGCATACATTTTGAAATTCTTGGTGCAACAAAAAGTCAATACTAGTGTTGTAAGTTCAATAAAAAGAAAATGTTTAGTAAGTTTTAAGTGATGGAATGCCCAAAGACCTATGTTTCTATTACAGAAATTGTGTTGTGAGAGCACTTGGCAGTGTTATCTATTAATCAATAGATTTTAATGCAGCTCCAAAACATTTAGTTTCTCAAGACTTCACATTTTGATGTATGATGAAGACAAGAAGAAAATGAGTCCTTAACTCCAAGGCACCAAGAGTAGATGGTTCAGTAGTTCCCCTCTCAAAAGTCTTTTCTCTGTGAGGAAGACACCAGAGAGGACTAATGGATCCAAAAAATTAGTACAAAAGAACATTTTTTGTGATACTAATACAAAATATATTCAAAGCTATTAAGATAACAAAGAAAAATTAGCAATGGAAATGCTTCCAATACTTGGGAAAGAGCAATAAAGAAGAATCCAAAACTTCATGAACGGAAAATATCACTTACTCATCCCAAATGAGCATGGCCTAATTGTTGTTATTGTTATATATATTAGTGATATAAGTTAGTCATAATCACCACATTTTTGAACTACTCATAGTTCAGGACATGGCTTCTGGATATGAGGACACATAATATTACTAGCAAATGCCTGTGTGTACTCAAAGTAGAGGTTGTACATATGCCCTATGATATGAAGATCGAAAAGCATCAATTATAAAACAACAGAGAAGAAGTTTCTTCCCACTTATAAGGACAGTTGGACGGCAAAGGAACAGAGCAATTACTGCAGTAAGTATTGGAAGATCCTTTAGACATTATCAATTTGGACATAAACAATGTAGCAAGGAGTAGAATTTTAGATGATCCTTATGCTAAACTTGTGGAGTATAACACAAAGCTTTCAATCCTCTGTCAAATGTGCTCTGGTTTCCCAATATTTTGGGACTTTGCCAGCACTACTACTCTGGGTAGGGAAAGTATGCTCATCAGTGTAAAAAAAAAGACAAAAAATAAATTCATAGATCAAGACAAGCTCATAGGTTGATACTGCAGTTCAAGGTCAATCTATGCTTTTGTTCTTTATAAAAAAAAAACCTTTAAGATATAGAGGTACACTAGCGAGGGAGAGAGAGAGAGAGACTTATGAATGGTGTTCTTTGTGCCGCACAGAGAGAAAGAGAGATTTATGAATGGTGTTCTGTGTGCTGTGAGTATGCATTTGTGTCAAGGGAGTGTCTATTTATATTGGGGAGAAGAGAGAGAGAGAAGGATAACTGAGGCAGGGTTGGATTGAATGCTCACTGTGTTGATTCGGTGCAATTTTTGCTGGTGAAATTGCTAATATAATTCTCAATTCCTCATACAAAGCACCAGGACCACCATTACCATTATCATGCTCAGAACTCACATCCATATACACATTATAATCACGATAACGTAAACAATTCATAAGAAATAGCAAAAGATAAAAGGTGCGTAGCTGGAACACAAATTCCAGGCTCATTTCAGGAAAATGGGACGATGACCGGCGATCAAATGCCACAAAGAGAGAGACAGAAGTTTATAGTGGAAGAAATAGAAGGTCTGTCAGTACAGCAGACTGTTCAAGTTATGGTTAGAAACTGATAAAGAGGTTGTAATGGACGACATTGGACAGGTCTTATTTGAGGCCTTTTTTTTTGGTTTTTTGCTTTTTCGAGCAACTGCAGGCCACTATATCATAATAACTTTACAAATTGCAACTGAAAATATGTTTTATTTATAATTTGCCCCAAGATTTTTCATCTTCTAATTTCCAGCTACCTAGTTTTTTAAGTTAAACACTGCTGGTTCATATGTTTTCACTTTGTCGGAATTATATTTGGCCTATGGATCCCAGTCTTCAATCCATTACTTTTGCTCTTTTGTGACACAGAATTGAACTTCATGTTATTACTTCACGACATCGGTTTGTGTCACTTACATGTTATTAGGTCCCGGCAACCCCCAGTGGGTGACTGTAGGAGGAACTCCTGAATGTATGTTTTGTGGGTTTGGTTTGATTGCACATTGATTGCCAACCCTGCCTGTGGTTTGTTTGTATGGAAGTATCCATCTTCATACAAAGTTCATCTTCCCCCAAAAACATTTATCTCACTTATTTGGGAGGCAGAACGGGTATTAAAATCAAATCCGTATCAAATTTCAAATGACCACTACAACAAATGTAACATCCAAAACCAGTTTGTGTAATTCAAATGGTAGCATTGCCGGTGTTTTCACCCTCAGTAATTACAAAAGAATCCTTTATGTCTCGACAAAAAAGTGTAAGAGCATTAAGGTCTGTCTTTGCGTGGGAGAATATGTTTAGTTGCTAATAAAAACCCTAACACGCTCATTAACACACGCATTAATGTACAAATCATAAGGTTTAGTGTCACTTTCATTTTGTGGGTCTGCTTTTGATCTGTTGGATACAAAGTCCTAATCAGGGCTCTCCACTCATTCACCATTTAGCTTGAACTACAGTTCCACTACCCAAGAGCCAACCCAGTTTGCCTAGCCTGAATGGGAATGTGTTTGGTTAAGAAACGTCTGCTCCTGCGGTGAATTCTGATACTCAGTGCTTGAATATTGAGCTATTTATGCCAATTAGTTGATACGCATCTGTCTAACCATTGTTTTAGGATCGTATTGTCATCAACGATGAAATCCCAAAACACGATAATCATTTCCCAAAAAATGAAACTTTTGCAATGCTCAAATAAGTAGGCTTCCATTGCCGAAATTTTTGCAGCATTGTATTGTTACATGTAGGCCTGGTAAGTTGGACCGTATAAATCTGTTTCTATTTTACTTTTTTTTTTTCTGCCTCTTGTTTCATATCTTCAAACTCTTACCATCATAAATTTATCAGTCGAATACAACAAAACATTACCCAAAAGGGACCAAAAAGATTAGGACAGCTGCCAAAAGTATGGTAGCATTCAAGACTGATTCCATGTTGTCTTCTATATAGTATATATGATCGTTTTTGTACATCCAAAAATGATTTAATTTCATATTCTATGATCATGTTCACATTATGTTTCAATTTTTTGCAGTTTCAATGTATTTAAACCATCATGGTCACTCTTTTATCATCAAAACAGCTGGCTTTTCACTCCATACAGAAATGATATGGATGGATTTTATGCTCAAACTTGTGAGTTTTCTTACATCAAATTCAACACAACTTTAAGAACATGCAATATGCATAATACATTCATGTAAACAACAAATGGAACATTCATAACCAACTCCTAAGATCAAGTTGGTGAAGAAGGATCTTTAAATTTAACGTGTCACGAAAGGATTGATCTTTTCTTGATAATTTTATATGAAGACAAGTGCCATGCCAATGAATTCCATGTCGCAAAATCTTGAGGAGCGGATATTCGTACAAAAGAGATCAAAACTAGATGTTTTTGGGACCTTCAGCAGTACATTCCAGAATTTTAAGATCCAATTTCCAAATCATCCAATGCAGAAGGTTACAATGTCACAATTATCAAACAACACCAATAGCTTCATCATTATTGAAAATATACACTTAAAACTTGGGGACTGTGTACCCCTTTTTTTTTTTTTGCTTTAGTTTTTCGGACTGAAGGGTGCATGACATCAAGTTGTTCAGCATTCACTGTACCACCCCACTAGCAGGACTATTCAATACACCAATTCCAAATCTGTATAATATGATACAACAAAAATCGTTAAGAGACAATATCAAGCAGATTAGCTACAGATAAATGCCTATCAGGAGAACCTTCTCCAAATGTTAAATACAGAAATTTGACAGACTGGATAAGCTTACCAATGCCTTCCATGCTCTCAAATGTTGAGCCAAGGAAAAGAATAGATCCTTGTTACAGGTTCTCAATGTTCACATCCTTGCCCTGAACATGTTTTTCAGACCCAATTAAAATCATTATATCAAGCATGAGCCTTTCAACAGCTTCTAGAAGTTACTTCACGAACTTTTTTGTGAGGCTTAAAACTTTCCTCGAATATCTACGTATTGTACAGTCTTTTCTACCAGGCTACTCTGAAATTTGTAGTCTAATAAAAGGAACCTAGGTTAGATGGTTTAACAACTGATTTTTAAGGCAGTTTCAGAAAATAAGTCGTATTAGTTTTAGTGCATAACATATGCTTGGCATGAGCCCTTGGCATCCTTTAAGCATTTCTTTTTGTTAGGTGAATGTCAAAAAAATATTTTTGTGGTTTTAAGAAGTGCTCATAGAACCAATTCTTGAAAAACTACAGCCATTCTACACAATCATTAATTTGTTGAGCATAAGAAACTTAATGAACAACTTTATGGAAGGAAGACACGTACTTCATTTGATGATAAGCTTTTCCCAAAGTTGATGATTCATTCCTTTTTGCGCAACGAACTCCATAGCATACATTTCACCTACAACAGCAATGGGCTTGTACTTTGCTATCACCAGTCAAGTGAATAAATTCAGCTTTTGACAGGAAAGCAGGGAATGTCAGTCACTTGAATCAATGGAAATCAAAGTCCAAGAGGAACTAAAGCTAGACAATCAAGAGGCATGAAGAACTATAGAACATGGGAAGAAAAGGGTGCCAATCTCCAGAGATAAGGAAAGAGAAAAACGTAACCAAAAATTCTGCCTCTATGCTGCATGTCATTGTCAGAATTCCATTACAAGGCAGCCTCTCCCTTTGTGAATATAAAAATAATGAGGGTATTAAACCTAAACGGGAAAGCCAAAAAAAACAGATATACATCAACAACTAACTAACCACCTACAGTGCCCTACTCAACTCAGCAAAGCCTTGCCCAAGCTATTGGGGTCGGTTGCAGGAATGCTATTCCTCCTTTGTACTCTACTA